TATCTGTAATAGAAAAGGTCATATAAAAGTAAGGCAAAAAATGCTCTATGAATAAGTAAGCAGAAAAGAAAGGCTAATGATAAAAATGCAGTTTTAGATAAGCAGAAAAAATAAATAAACAAATAAATAATGGTAAGATTGTAAACTTCAAAAAAAAAAAAAAAATCTGTATATATATCAAATGTAATCTTACAGTACTGAACACCAAAAATGCTTGACTTTTCGCTTAGCAGAAAAAATAGAAACAAATAACCGATTGAACTTAGATCACACAGCTCGATTGGTCCACTTCTTCGACATACCTTAACTACAACAACTTTATTAATCAATGATGGTGTTTGATGTACACCAAAAAAAAAGGAACGTTTAAAAATCATTAGCATATTAAAAGGATATCAAGTTGGTCCTTGACAACAGTACATGGTACTGTCTGTCTGACAGAAAAGAAAAAAAACAGAATCTTTTTGCTTCACAGTTTCTGTGTTTTGTTGTACTATTTTAAAGTTTAATCAAAGTGCTAAAATAACATCTGTAACAATAATTATTTTCAAAAAAAAAATAAAAAAATAAAGAAAAAAAATCTTTTAAGACTTTTTTATTTATACAGTCTAGTTGCCAACAGATATAATACCTGCCAAACTGGTATCTGATCAGTCTTTTCACAACTATCTCAAAACTGTCGTCAAATGTTAGCTAGCCGAAACTTATAATAGTTTATCATAAAAAAAACTTTTTTGCTTCTTCTCTTTAATCCATATTTTTATTTAAAGAGTACTTCAGCTTATAAACTTTTTTCTCCAATTCATCTCAACTTATTTGATCGCCTTGACATTTAAAACTACCAATGATAAAAAATTGAAACATGTTTGTTCTATTACGGATTGTCACCGTTGGTTGTATAACTGAAAAAAGTCTTATCAAAATTTGTTTATAATTTAGATGTTGTTGATCAAAGCTATAATTTTCATAACTTCAATAGATGGAATATTAGCAGCAGCAATAAGTTGCCGAAATGCTAAAGGTCGAGCAGTAGACTGGTAACCCTTTTTTT